GGGCGATAGGTAGGCACCCGCGTGTTTAATGCACTTTACTTGTCAAAGATAACCTGAGGTTGGAGAACAAGTCTTTGCATGTATATACATTAGAATCTCTTAACATATTTTAATTGATGTCTAAATTTTTAAGGGAGCCTGAGATTTTTATTTAAATTGTGTCCAAGTGTAAAAAGTTAGATACAATTTTTTCCCTTTTGTACTTCGAAATTATTCACTGCATCTTTGGCCATTCAATTATTCCATGCTTCTTAACACTGATCAAATTATTTTCTCAAGCATCAGAATTTTCAAGCTTCCTTTTACCGGCACGCATATTATTAAGATGCCGTTTATCTTTTCTTTTCTTTTTTTTTTTCGCCCTTTTCAAAAGTTTGGGTTCTTGTCCAAAGCTCTCTTCTTGTCCAAGAAAAATATAATTTTAAATTTAAAAAACGATAAAAACGATGAGANGTGAGTTGATCAAAATTCAAATTCTGTTTTCTCGTAATACTTTTCTTGCTGGCGTCAAATAATTTTCTTTCAACTGTATTGGGCGACCCTCTTGACAACACGTCTCTAATCAATTTCCACTTATCATTCAATCAAATACCCTTTTTTGGCAGGCTTTTATAGTGGATACTAGCCGGCACATAATTAGAAACATTTTGAGCTAGTTTACGTATTTTTATTTTTAAAAAATGATAAAAACGATAAGACAATTATAGTCGACAGGGCTTATAAAGTTATATTGATAAAGTAACATTAACTTAGAAATATTTTAACTTGTAAAGTTATATACCTCGAAGATAATAAAAGTAGACGAAGGAAGAGTTATAAGGACTGGTTTCACACATGTTTTAAAGGTTGAGAACTATCTGTGCAAATTTCCAAGTATGAGTATTAGAATAAAATATTTTTTTTGTTGATAAAAAAAACCATTTATTTAAAAAGATTTAAAAAAAAAAGGTAACATGCGAAGGAAGCATTACAAAAGAATGCTTGCAGAAAGACCTTAAAATTGCTAATTACAAACTGTGAAAGAAGTATAAGGGCTAATAAGTAAAACATGATTTTTAACCGAAATCGATTGTTAGACTACCAATAAGGGGGGCAGCCACCTGGCCCAATGCAAGAACTACTAAACTACTCCAACACTTGGATGAAGATCTATAAATTATACCCCCTTCTATTTGAAGAAAGCATACAATTAAAATATCTCCAGCTCATCTCAAATATCTATTTCTCTTCCTTATTAGGTTGGAGGACGGACGGACGTAGTGCCAAGAATAGAAAGGGAATTTTCTCAAAACGGGTTGGTTTCTGGAAAAGTTATTTAAACAAGCAACTTAAAATACTTAACATATTTTTGTGACTCTTTTATGATTGAACATTCAAACTGAATATAAGAATCATTTTACTTCCCTTTCAAACTTTTCTTGTTCTTCGTTCAATATCAATACTTAAGAATTTTAATTACTGGCTTAGTGGCTTAATGCTTGATAAATCCCTTTTCTTTTCTTTTTTGTTGCTTTTACCTACCACTTTGCAAAATACCGAAATCTCCGAAACCTCAATTTCTTCACATCGGTTCCCACTGCAAATAAATTTGGAAGCATCAGACAGGTTTATGACTAGACAAAATTTCCAAAACGAACCAACACGAGCCGAAATGAATCGAATCGAGTGGTTCTTCTTAAATTCAATACCCTAACAGGTATCTGAATCGAGAACCAACGGGTGTAGTTCCATTCTCGATTTTAGATCAAGAACCGAATAACTCAATTTTCCTAATTTTTTAAATTTATTTATCTTAAATAAGTCAAAAAAAAAATTTCTAAATAAATTTAATAACTAATTAATTTAGCACAAACCCAAAAATATGATTTTCCTATTTATAATTTTCAGCCAAAGCTCAATTTAATCAAATTGATCTAAGTTTTATCCAAATATGTTATTCTACAATAGTGTTGTTTCTACTGTTATGGAGAAATGAATTGAAACTCGGCTGCGTCTTTTCTCATTATTGTGAGCTCGTTATTTTCCTTTTCATGTGATTTTAACAATTAAATTTATGAAGAATTCAACAAAAAGAGATGCAAAAGATACATATGATTGGGCGACTTTATTTTTGTAAGAGTTAAGATTGAATATGTCATTAGTTGAATTAATATAGTTTTGTAAATATTAAAATTTTTAATTATAGTACAGAATTGAACCAAACCCAAACGGTTCCAAAATTAAATTTGGATTCGATGATTTCACTTACTAAATATCTGAACTGAACCGAATCGAACTGGACCATGTCCAGCTCTAGATATGTTTGAGTTCTTACGTTGTTGGGATTCCATGGACCAAGATCCGCATTTATAAGTGGGCTCAAGCCTAGGGCTGCACAAAAAAATTGTGAACCGCAGAACCAAACTAAAATCATTGGTTCAGGACAATGTGAACCCGCGATTTTTTTCCCTTAGTGAACCAAATCGTTTAAAAATGGTTTGGTTTAGGTTTCGATTTTCAAAAACCACACAAAATATTAATTTTATTAATTTATAAATTTTACGATTTTCACTTTTCAAAAAAAAATATCAATTTAACAATAAAAATTACAACCAACCAATCTAAATAATCATGTAAAATAAATTAGGTTCATCATTATTGTCCCATTGTTTTACCAATCCACGGCACACGTCTTGACCTTATATCGAAATCAAGCTAAAATTATTCCCAAATCATATGAAATAAACAGAAAAAGCATATATCTTTTACAATCCAAATCATAATTCAACAAAACTACAACAGTAAATCATGTCCAAAGCTTCAGAAATCCTAACATAAACTCTCATTTCTCAAACATTTGACGTCATGCTACTGCTGAACAAAATGCGATTCCCAATCACAAATCGCCAGTCGTCTTTTGCCTATTAGTGTGCTAATTTCTACCCGAGTCGCCTATTTCTCTCTTCTCCCTCAGTCAGTCTCACATTCTCATTCAAGCCATTTTCCCATTGTTCTTTCTTTTATTTATTGTTTTTGAACATTTTTACACTTGTGAGTTGTGGTATGAGTAGAAAAATGATTGTTTGTGTGCCTAGGTAATTAATGAATTTGTTTGTGATTTGTAAAGAATGAGGGATAGAGCGTATTGGTTATGTAAAAATGTTAAAGTTTCATAACTAATACTACTACCTTCTACTTTCTTAAAGCAGTTAGAGAATGAAATTCGTCAATTCTCAATAAGTCTGAACTTTATCAATCTTTATATATCTAAACATATCATGTTTAATCCCCATTTTTCATCTTACTAGCAAGATGAAATGAGTTTTAACCAAATTATAGCTGGAGAATGTGACTTTATCTTTACCAACCGCTATGTGACAATATGAAAAGCAAACAAGAAAAGGTTAATAAAAATGAAGAAATATGTATTCGTTTTGTTGACATTTTTTATCAACAACTTTGAAAATAATTTATTCACAGGTTTCATGGGAAATATGAATGTAATTTAACATTATTATTTCTCGTTTAAACTTATATATTAACTTGTTTTAAATATATTATTCGTTCTTTTGACATCTTTTTTCAACCACACATTTTGTTAACTTTTGTTGTGCTAATCTCCCTTCACTTACGATCTTGTGTTTATCAACGATATAATTTGTACACTTAGTTACAACTAATAAACAAACAGAGAAGAAAAAGGAGGCTAGGTTTCTTGTTCTATTGTCTAATAAAAATACATAGAAAACATATTTTATGTAGTCGCAAATAAGTAAAAAAGACAAATCTATCATTTAAAATAAAGATAAAAATAAATAACTAATATATTTTAATCCACTTAACATATCAGTGGTCGTTGTCCATGCCCTCCAGATTAATAATCCCTTTGACTAAATAATCCAATACTTTTTAACATTTTTCCTCTCCTTTTTCTTCTAAAATTTTAAAGCTTGTGAAGATACCAAAATAACGTGGAAAAGTGGTCACTTGTGAGTTAATAAAAATTCAAATTCTGTTTTCTCGTAATACTTTTTTTTTTTTTTGCGAGCGTTAAATAATTTTCTTTCAACTATATTGGACGACCTTCTTGACAAAACGTCTCTAACCAATTTCAACTTATTATTCAATAAAATACCCTTTTTTGGCAAGCTTTTATAGTGGATACTAGTCGGCACATAGAAACATTTTGGGCTGGTTTACGTATTTTTATTTCTTTTTTAATATTTTTATTTTTTAAAACTGATAAAAACGATAAGACAATTATATTCGACAGAGCTCATAAAGTTATATAGATAAAGTAACATTAACTTAGAAATATTTTAACTTGTAAAGTTATATACCTCGAAGATAATATAAGTAGACGAAGGAAGATGAATAAGGACTGGTTTCACACATGGTTTAAAGGTTGAGAACTATCTGTGCAAATTTCCAAGTATGAGTATTAGAATGAAATATTTTTTTGTTGATAAAAAAGCCATTTATTTGAAAAGATTAAAAAAAAAGGCAAGCAATTCGAATATGTACCGAAACCACAAATTATTTAGAGATTACTTGGCCAAAACAGGTCAATGTTATAATTTATATCATAATGGAAAAATAAAATCCTAAAAAGATATTATTATTAGAATATCCAGCTCATAGAGACTTTTATGTAGTTAGATAGTTAGTTAGTTAGTTAGTGTTTTAGTCTATAAATAGAGCACTTTGTATTCATTGTATTTTATTGGATTCTATTCCAATCTTTAACATGAAATCATCATGTTGAATCTATCTTTTCTTCCCTACAGTATAGCAGGTTTCAATTTGGCTTCCTTCCTTATTTTCAATATAGTATCAGAGAAAAGTTCAATTGCCAGTGCGGGAGGAAAGAAAGCATATTCCTTCAATAAAGGTCGAAGATAGAAACTCCCTCAAAGAACTATAGGAAACATCATTCAACTGTGAATTATTCGAACCTAAATTAGAACACCAAGCTTTTGGAAGCTCTCTGAATCAAATCATCGAACATTAAGGGGACACCTTCAAGATCCAACAATTTCAGAGCCTCCCTCTTTTGCTCCGCGCTCTGAAAATGGATCAAATTCCTCTGCATCTTTTGCAACACCTTGAATAATTCTTCTGGTTTTGGCTGATGCAACCGCATCGATTCCGGGTCGGCCTATGACACAAGATGGTTGCCAAGCTCCGATATCTCCATTTTCGGGCACCTGATTTCGCAAAAATTGACAGAATCTTATTCGTTCAATTCTTCCTCATCAATGAGTTATTCTGCCATTGATGATGGATATGGTTCATTTTCCTGCCTCTTGGAGCAGATTACTAGAGATGTTTCTTCTATTCTCTCTAGCTTTGTACTAGAGATGTTTTCATGGAATTTATTCCGATTCCATTTTCTATATTCTTCTCCTTTGTAGATGTTAATTCATAGTTTCTAATTCATGCCAAATCAGAAGATATCCTCAATCTTCTTCATTGCAGACTCGGTAGTCAAAGGATATTTGAGAATTTGGTAGTGGTCCAATTTGTTCCTTGGAGGAGCACTGATGCGTGGGTACTTGGGGTTTCTGTCCTTCTTCAATGTCTTCGGCCTGTGGAACGTAACTTTTGTGATGATCTTCTTTGATTTCTTCTTGATTGCCGAAG